ATTTTTCTTGACTTGCGTTATTATTCGACTAAATCATCTGAATGAAACAAAAAACTTTACATATTCTCTTTTCTGAGCTTCTCGAGTTAAATTTGGCACTTTTCGTTCAGAGACCACGCTTAGTAATTGAAAATCACCTAATGGAAACAGATATATTGACTGAACTAGTAGCTCTAGATTGGAGAGGACGCTTCAACTACAAACTGAAAAACCTTTCAGCAAAAAGAATCCAGAACATGAGCGTCAGTTTAACACCATCTGTGCTCGTCAAAACAAAAAAAAAGATTTTCTTAGGGCTCCCAAACGACGTTAATGTGAGTTTTTCTATCTTCGTGGATGTCGAGTTACGCACTCAGTCACTGTCCACCGCCAGCGCACTTCTTACTGCGATGCCTTCTCTGTACGGCCACTTACCCAATCCACGTCGGAAAAGCAACCTGCACAAAAAATCAAGCGAAACTAAATTCTACACTTTACGCTAAGAGTCTTCGGCAACGTAGCACTTGACGAGTTCATTTTAGACTTCAGTTCCAGAGGTCCTGATTTCAAGTCTCACATCGGTTCCTGTCTCACGTCGAGGAAGCATATGCTGTAGAAAAATTGCAGTATTATCAAGATCTTCTTGTAGATTAAACAATAAACGGGTCGACTGCCGAAGACCACAACTGCCCTGGATGTAGTGGACCATCATGATTCCTGCCTTCAGGAACGTAGCCTTCAACACTTCAAGCCGTCCGTATCTAGGCCGTGGATCGAACCAGCCCTCGGTCGAACGGCCACTTGTCGCAGGACGATAAATTTTGGAACAGAACTTTGCTATCTGAAACCTAACCTCAGATGCGGTGAACGCAAAATTACGAAATTTAACGATGCCCGGAAGTCAGATTCGATCCGCGGCCTGGTGGTGCACGGCTGATTGGTAGATATCCGGAGAAATCCAAGGCGTTCGATTCAGGGCTTTTGGTGCACAAAATTGGTGGTGCACGGCTGCGCTCCCCGATTGGTTCAATGACGTCGGAAGTAACTCCACTGAGTCAGAATTGCGAGTTAAACATCAGAATGAAGGCACCATGGTTGAACTAGTATATAGTTCAACCATGGAAGGCACTACCTGTGTACCTGACACCTGATAAGTCAGCACATCCTATGTTGTATAGCTACACTAAAGCAAGTACCTCACAGGCTGATTCAGGCTCACAGCTACCATGGCCGTTCGCATGTTCGATGCTCAATCGTAAGAAGCGGTCGTCTACCTTACACGATGCGATATTGTATACGGACGCATAATTCATCTTAACTTAGCAACTCGCACAACAAATTCAGTTATTTTCCTAGAATTCACATCGTGCCTGCATTTATTTTCGTCGCCGGTTCATAATCATCTTTGACTCTGCTATGGAAACTGTTTTAGTTTCAATATTCCCGGCCAAAGATCTAACATCGGTGCATCTTTAGATCTGGAGCCGCAGGCCTCTTCAGCGCGTTTATCGTAAACTTGAAGTAGGTTATTAATGTGAAACCTGCAACCTCGAATGGAAGCTGATACTAATAGTGTGTAAAATTTATTGAAACGAACTGAAATAATTCTGAACGAGCTATCACTTTGTTCATTGATTCTGTGACGAGAGCCTTGAAATGGCTTGCGACAAATATTTATCAATCCTAAGAAATTTTTAATGAATAATAGAAATTAAAATAGCACGTATTAGTCTACCATTTGCTGCTAGTCTACCAGTCACTGGGAATCCTCCAGTTGTATTCCCAGTTACTGTTAATTAACGTCGAGTTACAATTTTTTCCGAAATAAAATTAGAGCTGGAATATTTTTACTGCAATGGTACAAATATGCTCCGTAACTCCAAGCGTGATAACTGCTAGAGGACATCGCGACTGAAAACAAAAACAGATAACAAATTATACCTTCAATTAGAATGATAATTAATAGCTGCAATTTCTTTGAAATGATGCCTATTGTTGGTCCATTACTTTCAAGCGAATTTCCACAGTGTCGTTGGAGTGAGAGTTGCTTTGAGCACTTGCATGCACACATGGTTAGCTGGGAAAATGTTTGGTTTATAGATTTGTGTTTAAATCCTAACTAAATGGTGGTGACAGCTCATTAAATTCTCTGTGTATCCAGCTACCCAATAAGATCTATGCTGTCCAAATACGTTACTTTTTATTAATGAAAACTAATTGGGTATGAAAATGACCTTAAAGTCGTTGCAGTATAACAACTCAATAGCCTTTTTCAGTAATGGCCTAAACACGTTATTCCTCTCACTCGGTAAGAGTAGGGCATTTCAGGTTCTCAGCATTTTTAGCGCATTTTCACATTTATGGAAAAAATGCACTATTGTGCTCGCCATGTCCGTCTGTCTGTCCGTCCGAGACTTCACGTTTTCGTCGACGAGAAAATGCGCGCTCTGTCACTCACTGCAGTGAGGACTGAGTTATATTTTTTTTGTGTCAGTGGATAACCAAGAGTCTTGAAGAGCCATTGTTGTAGTTTGGTTATACTACTGGAAGCTTGTAAAATAATTTGATAATATTAAAATGATAATAATAATAAACTGTGATGAGACACGGAAAAATTATACTCTAACTGCCCATTAGCTCGAAAGAAATTGCATTCAATCGTTACATCATAAAGGCCATCAAAGTCAATTCCCTGCATTGTACACATGACTAGATATAGTCTTGGTGCTGCTGCCAACGATTGGCAAGTAGAACTAACGCGCAAGCAAGGCCAGAGGGTAGAGAAAAGGAGTGGGCCAGAGATTGTCTACTCAACACGCCAAATAAAATTGGAGGCGTTTATATTTTAACCTTATGGGCTGCCCAACTAAAAAGAATAATACGTCTTTCTCGCGAGAGAAACTACTTTGAACAAGATTTACGATCCTACAGTAGATTTATTATTTCTCATTCATGTGTGCCAAATGCACCAAGGGCATGTCTAATGTACTCCAATGGCTTGCGCTGTCGGATGAGAAAGTGGTCATGAGAGAGAAAAACTATCGCAAGGTTTGAGCGATATGAAATGTAGTTAAAAATTGTTAGATTCAACTAGTTGCAAATTATTTTTCTAAAATAGTCCGAGTAATGAAAAATATAACGGCTTAGCAGCGGAGAGCCAATTATTTGATAAACTCCACGTACTCATTAGTATGGAAAAATATCATGCTACTAATAACTGTACGTATCTTAAGGAACTGTCACATCGTATACAGTGGGAGAGGTCTGTGCTGTGACTATTCAGGACAGCTTCCAACAAGAACAATGATTCTACTAACATCTCCACACAAACAACACCAACGAGCTGAACGCAGATACACTAAGAATACGTATGTTTCCACGGTTTTTTTTTCTCTCCACAAAAATTTTCATGTAAAATAATATAAACAGATGGGAATTAGGAACAAACACTAGTATCAAAAAATGTACTAAAATAGTCTAAGCTTATTTATCACAGATCATTGTAAGACCGAGAAGAAATATTACATGGTAGCAAGGTACACCTGAAATCGGATCGTGTCAATAAATACTTCAACCAAAAATGAAAATGGTGAGGTATGGCCAACAAGAATATGCATAACTATGCGAATTGTGCCCGCAAACTTTAAAATTCACAATCATGAAACCTACTCGCAAATGAAATGACTAAAATAATTTTGTATTCGTATTGTTAACAGAAAAATATCAAGTATCACGTTGCATAGGTATAATAAATAGTCATTACTGTAAAAGGAACAGATTCAATCATCGTCAATTTGATCGTTCAAAATCAAATCCGCAGGCATAAAAATCAAATTCGTAAATGAAATGTTACCTTTTTCAAACATATTGTAACAATATCCCACTAACTGACTTGTTCAACATAAGTTCACGTACTAATACCAAATAAAAACAAAATTCGGGAAACAATTCTACATACCTACCTGGTTCGTTTCGGCAATGCAAGTAACAATTATATTTCTGCTTTGTCTACTTAATTTTGTACGACATTCAAGTTAGTTAGTAACTAAAAGCTCTTGAAATTTCCTACTTGATTTAATGAAAAAATTCACGTCTATGTATTGCAAGTGGGATGGAAAATTTTGCATCATACAAGTTTGAAAATAGTGATAAAATTTTCGGTAACAAAGAATCTTCACGGAACTAAAAATTTTTCAAGTTAAATGTATAATATAAGAGCTCTAACGCGGTCGACACATCATTCGCCAAAACCATTGCTCTCTATCCGCCTCCCGCCTCACTCCCAAATAAAAATAGTAACCGAAAAACACTATCATAGAGCCATCTTCGGAGCTGAAGATTGATTGATTGATTGATTTTTATTCACATAGGAGCTCTAGTTACAATTCAAAAGAGAAAAAGAAAAACATTTACAAAATAATAGAGACATCCAAGTGAATGCCCATAAGCAGATAAGCTTCGCAGGCAACAGAGGTGATTAAAACTCTATTCCAATGATAAGTCAAAGAAGTTAAGAGCAACAGAAAGTTTCTAAATTAAACACATACAAGGAAAGAAAACCTCAAGAAAACTGATAACAGGACGTCACTAAAATTAAGCGTAACAAAGCAATATCAATATAACAGTGATTAAAGATGGGTAAAAACTTGAAATATAGTCAAAAATATTCAGAACCTGCATGACAAACGAAGTCAAATTAATACTGGTCAATAATAAATTTACGGAATTTCGTTTTTAAAAGTAATTTGGAACAATCGTTTTTAAAATCTTCATGCAATTCATTAAAATATTTGACGCAGTTAAAAACAGTACCGCTTTTTTTCTACTTCCAGACGAACCGCTGGCAAGTTAAATCGTACGCCCCTGGTATTATGGGAATGTTGAGGGACGAGAGAGGCGAAGGCGGACTCAAAAAGACGATCATCATGGAAAAGTGCCCTATGCATGAATTTTAAAAGCTCAAGTTTATACATATCGTCGAGTTTCAAGATTTTAGACTGCTTATATAATACGCAGCACACTTCGTCGAAGGAACTTCTCGAGACATAAAACACTGCGTCGTCGGCAAAAAGTTTGCAGTTCACATTAAGAGATGAAGCAATGTCATTAATAAAAATAGTAAAGAAAAGAGGTCCCAGTACAGAGCCTTGTGGCACACCTATATTGATTGGTTTTATGGGTGAATTGAACTCGTTTAGCGCGATGAACTGTTCTCTATTCGAGAGGTAAGACTGAATAAGTGAGAGGAAGGTCCCTCTAATACCATAACGGTGTAGCTTCCCTAGAAGAATTCGGTGATTCACACAATCAAAAGCCTTCTGTAGGTCCAGAAAAAGAGCGACACAGTAATCTTTTTGAATGGTACGTCCTAAGAAGGTCTTGAACTAGATAAAATATAGCCATGGTTGTGTTGCTACCCTTACGGAAACCAAACTGGTTATCGGATATAATTGAAAATTTATCGAAAAAAGTAGTTAGTCTAGAGTGGAGAATTTTTTCAAAAATCTTATTAAGATATGACAGGGTTGATATAGGACGGTAATTAGAGACTTTGTAAGGGTCACCCGATTTAAAAATAGGTATGACTCGAGCTCGTTTCAGTAAATTAGGATACACTCCTGTGGACATACAGAGGTTAAAAATATGCGCTAAGACTGGCGCTACAGTGTCAGCTACAAGATACAATATTCTTGGCTGAAATTCATCGACCTGAAGTTTTTTGCCCTTGCACAGTCGTAAAATTTGCTTTATCTCAAATTCAGAAGTAGGAAAAAGGAAGCAGGATGCCTCACAGGAGGGATTTTCATTCATCAAATTATCGTTCACAGGACCTAAGTTTTTTGTGATATCGTTAGCAACAGAGATGAAATAATTGTTAAATTCAGTTGCTGCATCGGTACCGGAAATTATCTCATTATTTTTTAACAATTCAATCAAGAATAATTAGCCTGGTTAGGCCAGTCGCCGATTCTTTTAGTCTTCGTGACTTGTTATATATATACTGTATAATCAATTTTTAAATATCCGTTTTTTATAGAAAGTTCTTACGTTTATAATTAAATGATTTAACTTGATATTTTTCAGCAATTTAATATTAGTGCTTACCTCAATGGGTTTGAAATACATTCTAAATACCTGTAAGGTCACTCTTTCCCAGTTCTCAAGTCTGCGTAAATTAATTTATGAATAAAATAATTAAACCACAGGTTACTCAAATGAAAGTGGCATATTCATATTTGCTTCTCGAGTTCTTATGCTGAGTTCTAATACAGACCCTGTGTCATCAGCAACACCAGCCAGCGATCGGCAGTGTCGAGGCGACTAAACAGCGCGAGCGTAAACAAAGCTGTTTGCAACTTTGTCTAAGTATCTAGTGTCAACGTTGTGTGGTCCGTATGTGCAACTGCGGCAAGCAGGTCTAGCAGACGTCAGCTCCGTGTTCAGTCTTCATCATCCGTGTGAGCAGCGGCGGCAGCACCGGCGTTCACGGCGGCCAGCAAGTCGTGCTTGTCTTGAGCAGCTTCCTCTTTGAGCCGCTCTCTGATGAGCTCAGCGATGGCGCGGTCAGTCGCTCGCTCCAGCTTCTCCAGGCGAGGCTCGATGGCGCGCTTCAGGTCAAACGTGATTTTTTTGGGTGCCAAACTGCTAAGCTCAACCTGAATTTTGAAACATGAATATGAGATAGTAGTATATAAAATATGTTCAGGCTATCAGTTCTCAAATTATGCTGGAATTGAAAAAAATGCCCAACTTTTTGTCTCATCCACTAAGGATTATGTTCGATTTTCTTATTATATTTATTATTTCTAGTTAAGTAATATATTCTAATTTAGCCTTTTGCATTCTCACATGGCAGATAGTAAAATACTGATGCAATTTAATACTCGATAATAGAACTGGGAAGAATGGCAAATTTTGAGATATATTGTCAACATTTTAGATGTTGATGCCAAAAGTTGCAATTAGCAAGGATATCATCTGTATTTTGACACTGTGCCAACAAAATTCTGTATCATAATAAAAAATTCTACAAATAGAACGATAACATTGAATTGTAATGTGACACAATATCATCAATTTTATAATTGAACCGTGGAGGTGGGAGCAGGCAATTGGGCAGAAATACAAGTTATCTTACACGAATTGCATACAAAAAGATTAAACAAACACGCGTGTAACAATGGTAAATGAGAAATTTAGCTTTTTTCAAAAATGCAGGGAGTGTTTTTCTAATGAAATCAAACCATATAGAACAAATTATGTTATGACTGTAGCAACTAACTTGTTGCAAGGATTTAGCAGCTTTATTAGCATCAGCAACTTGCTCCTCTACTAATGTGTCGACATCAGCAGGCTTTGTGGGATCAAGGACACCCTCACTCAAAATTTCGCTCTCTGGCTGATAATTCCTGTAAAATCATAGGCAGAATTAGATTGGCAAAAATCATAACAACAATCATTTGGGAGGGGCATGGAAGAGATCATTAAATGGTCAGTCCCCCAATTATGCATTAAGTACCTACCATACCCCATGCCTCAAGATCAATGATAAAAAATTACTATTAAATACCCATAAAAATCAGCTGCTATAAAGCAAAACAATCCATAATTTTCTGATTGTTAGGAGACATATATGAAAAAATAGTCATGAAAATATAAAGACTTTGGTTTGCAAGGGTTCAAAAGACTGCCTCCTGCCTATCAAAGCTTTTAGATAAATATACCTACGCATAAGCTATTATCACTTGGCATCTGAAAACCTTGAGAATATTAATTCCTACAAAAATATATATTTCCTGAATTTCAAGAATGTGCAACCATTAAAAAAAGTATCATATTTTGTATCATATATCATCTCATAAAAATATTGTTTATCCAGGAAATAGTAATAAATATTTCAAACTGATATCACATTATAGTCATTATCTCACCTGAAGAGTATCTTAGGAGGAGGTAGCGCCTCATCTGCATCACCAGCATCAGAATTCTCTTTGGAATCCTCTTCATTCTTCTTTTTTCTGCTTTTCAACTCCTGTAGTCTTGCTTTGCGCTAAATAAACAGAACAAGATTAGCGCAGACAATTTCAAGGGCATAAACAAATTTTAGATGTATTAATAAATTTCCATTCAAAGCAGTATGAATATTATACAAAAAAAAAAAATTTGAACAGAGGATGCACATACAATCAGATGGTATTTCATTTTTTCAACTGTGTAGCAATAACATTCCATGAAATATGGTAAGAATCTCAGAGTTACACTAATCATAAGAGCAAAAAATCAAATGTCCAATCTCTGCCTACAACTCAAAAAATATATATAATTATATATTTTACATATATAATTAAATATCTATAAATTACACTTGTATAATTATGGAGCTTACACTGATCTTGCTGCAATGTTCTCCAGTTAACAATGGAGTAAAACACAGTAAAAAAAATTAAATTTCATATTTTTTACAACACTTCTCTTCAACTTCCCTTCTTGTTTGTCTGTCTGTCTGCTACAAATCTTATAATCAAAATTTAACATGCTTCTACTTATCCCATTGATTTGAAATTTAGCACGCTTGCGTAAATGTGGAGACAATGCAAGAATCAAATGACAAATTAAATGATTTTGAAAATTAAAAAAATTTCAACATCAAAAAAATTGGAAAAATAATTTTGTCAGCTACAAATCTTATAACTGATATTTGACACACTTTTACCTGTCCAATTGATCAGAAATTTTGCACACTAGTGTGAAGTCGGAGGCAATGCATGAATCAATTGACATTATAAATAATTTAAAAAAATTATATATTAAAAAAATTTAAATTAATTTTTTTAATATTCAAAAATAAAATGTGAAATTCATAGTACATTTTTAACACTTTGACTGTGACTTGCAAAATGGCCTGTATTCCAGTGATGCAACTCATTCAAACTTGAATAACTTTAATTACAGACAAGACAGTGAGACGAGGGCTAGTGCGCTGCTCTTGTCTAAGCAAGTTCTACAAGCTTCTTACATAAAAACCGTGAGCCTCTATTGGTGCATGTCGCCCGGAATGGAAACTTTCATCTTTCTAGGCAACATGTGGCATATGAGGCACATGGCATTTATTATACAACTACAATAAAAATTTGCATCATATGGGTACTAACACTTGAAAAAAAAACATTTTCTGAGCAAAAAGAATTGGAATGTAACTGCAATACTCAACCTACAAATCATTCTGGGGTAAAATGCTGCTAAGTGGGAAGTTTATAATTCATTTATATGATGTCTTACAAAACTGCTCTAAGCAAAGCATGAAGTGGTATCGACAACTGTTCAAGTTATTTTCAAAAACTGCTGTAGCAAATGCCTGGGACATGCATGCTTGTACCAAATATGGCGCACGTCACAGTCAATGTGTTAACATTGGAGACACTGGATTCTTTAGAAGCATTGTCTTTAAAAAGTAATTTTTAAATGTATATTTTATTTATTGGTAGTTTCTTATTGATGATACTCTTGTTTGTATGCTTTCAAATACAAAAACATTGTTGATGTATACAAAGATAAAGGATTAAGTAGTGACTACAAATGACTTCAGTTCTGTCAAGTTGTCTCAAAAATCTTAATGCAAAATAAACCTCAATCTAATTAAAATTACATCAATCTAATACTGTTGATAGTCAGTTCAAGCAAAAATTTATTTCAAATACAGAAAACTTTTTACATTAGAGCATTCCTTACAAGTTACAACCTTTTTTCTGCTAATTTAAACCAAAATATCAATGTGACGCAGCTCGGAGTAAGAATTTGACCACAATCCTGCTTTTAATTGAATTAATTAATTTGTTTATTGACTATTATGATAAGTATCAAATGACACAGTATTGATGTAAAAAGTTTAAGATTCCATTGTTTTTGACAAGATTGAAATATTATGTAGGGGAAAAAAATAGTTCACATTAATTGTTAGTTTTTAACAATAATTTCTGAAGCCTTTGAAAGTAAATAAAAGGGAGTTCAGAGAAATTTATTGTTTAAATAAAACCATTTGTTTATACTTATCAATTCTCACCTTGGCTGCAGCTTCTTCCAAAGTACCAACATTGTCTTCTTTAAGCCCCATTTTACAGCTCAGGTCTTGTATGCACAAGTAATTTATATTCTGTGAGCAAAATTAGCCAAACTATCAAATTGAATATAAATCAACTCACAATCCAGATTAGCTTATCAAGTTATCAAACAAACTTTAAGTTTGCTTCAACAAGGCAATTATACAAAAGTGCAGAAGAAAAAATTTGAAAATCTAGTGTGATTTACCCAATTCAATTTTTGAATATTTAAGCCATTTCAAACTTTTCATACAATGAGACAAGAAATTTGAGCAGAGTTTTCTTCTACTGTTCTTGGTTTCTGGGCTACTAACCCTTTAGCGGACAAGAATTAAAATATCCAGAAATTAAAATTTCAGAAAACATTTCAAGAAAGTAAGAAGTATTACCTACACAATATATTTATTTATACGAATTTTTGCAAATTTTGCCTATTGAAGGTTTAAAATTGCACTTGAAAAATTCAATATATGCGATCAGTACACAAAATTTTTCTTTATAATTAAAATTCAGTTTATGCAAATGAAAAATTAGAAACATAAAAATTTAATTTAATAAAATTTAATCAAGTTGCCAAAATAAATAAATATATATATATAGTCAGATGGGGTAAGACAGGACCGAAATCACTAACAAGCATGTAGCATCTATACCATGAATAAATAAAAAACCCTAAGAATGTTTCTATCATTCATTATCAAGTTAAAAGGCGCATTGAGTGATGAAATTAGCGTCGACATAAGTACAAAGTCAAGTAAATAGGATACTACTCAAAAATCAAAATTGTTAGGAATAATTACAAAATAACAAAATAATTTAGAATCAAAGCACCGAAAATCACTACAAAAGTAGTGATTTCGAGCCCGATGTAGTCCATATTGGGGAGAAGCCAATATGGACTACATCGGGCTCACAACTACGACATGAAGCCGACGTCTCACGTGCCACCTTCAGTCTGGTGGACCAAAGCCCACAACGAGACCATCACTCGTACGGTGCTGGAAGAATGCACCAGCATCGTCATGAGATGCCCCGACGCCAACCGACTCATGATAGCTGAGGCCCTCATCATTAAGGATAGGACCCCAGCCTTCAACCTTCAAACTACTGGATTTGTCAGAACCTTGAGACTGTTTTCGGAGTGATTTTCGGTGCTTTGATTCTAAATTATTTTGTGATTTTGTAATTATTCCTAACAATTTTGATTTTTGAGTAGTATCCTATTTACTTGACTTTGTACTTATGTCAACGCTAATTTCATCACTCAATGCGCCTTTTAACTTGATAATGAATGATAGAAACATTCGAAACGTCGTTAACAAAATAAAAATGTCCATCGGTAACCTGATTTTCGATTTGCCAGTTCAAACTAAAAATATTGTTCGATATATTGAAAAAACTAATAAGAAAATTGCGAATAAAACAAATTCTCTGGTCTTCAAGGAAACCTGCTTGAAAGAAGAAATTCTGCCAACCTATACTAATATTTCAATTTGTGGACTTTGCAGCTGGTGATGCTGTAGATAGAACGATGGTCAGATAATTAGTGATTGACTGAGGCACTATAAGGATGCCTCAAAAACAAACAGGAAGCCGTGGTGAGGCTTTTTGTGACGCGATTTCAAGTGATCATATATGGTAACTTACCCATGAAAGGGTTAAACTAAGAATAAATGTAATACATATTATCCCTAACACAGATGATCAGAATCATCAGATCCGTAACATGCTAGCAGAAACTGCTATGTTGCTAGCTGACACATCATACATTATAATGTTTGCGTAAATCTAATAATTCATGCGATTGATGTGGTTGTAAAATCTTGACATTTTCCTTCTATATTATTACTACTGACTGTCAATGCCACTAAAGTTGCCACCCCACTAAAATTGCCATTCTACAATTAATATGGAAATAATTCTTAAGCTTCAACAAATACAAACATTTCTTTATCATAGAAAAATCAAGATTATTTTTTAATCTTTCATAAACATAGTATAATGCATTTTCAATCATTAATATGTAAATAGTTTTAAGAATTCAAATTAACATGACAAACATTCTTAAAGCAAAACAAATTTGCTCCTCTCTGCACCAAGTTGGGCCTAGGGCAAGGCCTTACTTTACCCTTTCTTAAATGTTTTACTATATCAACATACCAGAAAAATCCATCATAAATGTGACCCATCCATAATTTTTTATGATAGATTGATTAATTACTGATACAGTGATACAATTTGGTTAATCACTTAATGACATTTGTCTGGTCAGTCATAGTATGTTAGGTGATAACGCAAGTTTAAAATGTAAGTTCAGAACTTCACCAGACTAGTCCACACTCCACAGTGTCTGAAGATGCTTCTTGTTGGAATTTATGGGAGCCTCTGAAGACTAGTTCAAACTTCAATGCAGCCCATGTCAGGACAGTTTAAGGAATTTGACTGAATTTTGTTTTCAGGTACAAAATTGGGTGTCTTGAAGAGATACTCAAGATTTTTCAATGGCTGAAGAGCTACATAACAGGGCTGGAAAAGTCCTATTTTTTATGAAAATGTTGTGGCTCTAATTGCGTATAGGTACCTAATTTCAGTAAGAATGAAATCTCGTGGCTTTAATGTCATGTATTTTTGTTTGATTGAAAAAATTGCAGTTTGCACTCCACAAACATGTCATTTCATAAATTTTTAACTTCTGCAATCTGCAATACGTCGACAATCTTGCCAAAATATACTGCACAACGTAATTACAACAAGTCAATCTAAAACATTTTCTTAAAAATTACATAGTTGTAGTCACGTTGTTATCATGTGAGTCTCAGCGCACCGCGAGTTACAATTTATTCCCTCTTATAACAGGAAGGGCCACGACAATGAGAATGAGTAAATATTTGTGGAAGCGCTAATTCTTGTCTAAATTTAAAGTTTGAAAGCTTAAAGGTTTTAAATTTTATTAGGAACAATATCAGATAAACAAATTAAGGTTTGCAGTAGACAAAAATAAAATCCAAAAATCACTAATAAGGGAAGAGCACAGGCTTGGTTAATGTGAACTTGACATTACCAAGCCAGCTGTAAAAATAGATTAAATTAATAAAATATTAAAGGATGTTTAACGTGAGAAGTTGTGATTTAAATGATTAATTAGTAATCAAGCATTGCAGGGTAAGTAAAGGCAAGGGACTTATCAGTTAACCTTAACAAAGGAAGCAAGGGATATAGTCATAATTAAATGGAATCAAAACAAGTTAAGTAACCAAAGAACCAAAAGGGTTTGCAAGGTGAACACGGTTGACAATGCAATGACAGACTATCAAGTATAGTTGACTATTTGTTTAAAATAGGAATCATGAGAAAATGCAGTAGTATTGCAATGAATCAAGAATCATAATAAATCAAGAACCAATGCACTATTTACAGAAAACACAAGTAAATTAAAATGCAGACATAACATATATATACAAGGGTGACCATTCACTAACCAGCATGGCTAAGCAAGAGTGGTCAGGACTGTCAGACCACTCTGTTAAACAGCTGAGTGTTGTATTCATTTGGCTCAGCTTTATAAATAAATGAATATCTGTAACAGAGACTGAAACTGAAGAGGACAAAGGCATTGAGGTGAGGTAAAGGCAAGGCCGGAGGCAAATAACAAGGATAAATAAGCACAGATAGGCTGTGCTACACAAGCCACAAAAGCCTCCTGGCAACAATGCTACTCATGTCAGAGCGGCCAGACTGCATTATCATGTGATCAGTTAGTTGCCAACTTGCCACTTAACACGTTGACTACGATTGCTTCATCTTGTACTATTATTTTATTTTTTGTACTTTTTTTTAAGCAGGGTTTCCAGACGGTCATTTTTTCCGGACAAATTCCGTGATTTAGTTTTTCTCAATTGCGTTGGCTGGCTAAAATTTATGATAGGGGTACTTCCTAATTAAATTTTAAATACTGCAAAAAGAAAATAAATGGAATTTTTATAGCGGAACCTACAAATAAACTAGTATACATTGAATTATCGGCCTTTTTTGGCCTTTTTTGTTCTCGGATTTGGCCGATTTTAGGCAACCTGAATTATGTACCACTACCTCTTGGAGAAATACATTTCGTGGTACGCATATGTACCAATACGTAGTCAACGTGTTTGGTGATGACAAATGTTAGTGTTGACTTTTTATGGTAAAATTAGAGATTAGGGGTAACACATGTGTGGGACTTGGTAAGAGGTTTGTGGTTGCCAGCTTGTAAATGGCTTTTAATGGTCAAGGTATAGAATTCATGGCTCAAAAAAATTAAATCATGGCTCAAACAGGCTCATTGCTCAAAGAAATGGCATCATAGCTGTCAAATCCAGAAAATCATGGCTCAAAAAATTCAGTCGTGGCTTGCCATTGCCAAGTAGATATATTCCATTTCCATGCCAGCGCCAAGGCCAAAGTGGAGACTACACAGTACACCGGGATGGAGAGCACCACGCCAGGGCAGAAGGCCCCACACCAGGGCAGAGAATCCCGCTCCAGGGCAGAAAGTCCCACTCCAGGGCAGAAAGTCCCACTCCAGGGCAGATAGCCCCACTTGGCTACTCCAACTCCAAGCAGACCAAGCCCCACTCCAAGCAGACATGCAGACCAAGCCCCAGGGCAGTCTGGGCAGCCCGGCAGGGCAGAAAGTCCCACACCAGGGCCAGCCTGCCAGGTACCTGGGGAGACAGTCTCCCCAGCCCCCAGGTACCTGGCACTCTGGTAGGCTAACTTAACCTAATCCCAGCTGGGCCAGCCCCCCCAGGTGTCTCCCAGAGACTCACCTGGGGCTGGGGCCTGGGGACCATAGTGCATAGTGGCAATGCAGAGAGTTTTTTAGACTCTCCCTCAAGTTCATATTTGGAATGAGTCCTATAAGTAGACCAGTAAAGTATCCTGGATACCAGCATTATTATATACAAGAAATTGGTATAAATCTGAAGTAAATGAGGAAATTTAAAAAGAACTGATTCTAAAAAATCTGTGCTTTGTCACTATGCTGGGGACAGTGAGTGGGAGTGTGGGACAGTGGACACTAACAGTAACAGTGACTAACTCACTAACGACTAACCTAACCACTCACACTCTCACAGTGACTCACTGAGCCCTGAGAACACTAACCACTCACCTGCACACCTCGCACCTGGGGACACCTGGACACTAAGTCACTAACCACCCACCTGGCCTGAGGGCTGGGGCCTGGGGGCACCAACCACAACCAGTCATTGCAGTCAACCACTCACCTGGGCTGGGCCCGCTGAGGGCAGTCCAGGGCAGTGAGGGCACTAACCAGACATCAGTGAGAAACCACAAAGTCACAAA